TTTATTGAAGTATTTCGTTGTTTAAGTAAATACAGAAATTGCAGTGATACGTAATAAAGATTTATTAATATAACAAAATATTTTTTTTTTTTTTTGAAATAATTTTTGATGTTTATTCAATAAAAAAAAAAAAAAGAAATTATAATTGAAGTATGTAATTTAAATATCATCGATATTTATTTATTGATTTCCATAAAGAAATAAAACACATTTAGTTCTTCGATTTATTTAATTGAACTTTAAAAGGTAACAGGAGGAGGAGGAGGAGGAGTAGGACTTGCATATTCATGATTTTTCGAGATTTCGTGTCTACTTTGCATTTTCAGTAGTTCACGATCGTTCAATCCCTTCGCCCTCGATACAAAATTCGCTGATATTGAACTTAGACCTTTGCTAAAGATGATATTACAATCGTTTGTACGATATTACTATGAAATCTCAGGATATTGCAATTTTATTCAGACATATATATATATATTTATTAATATATTTTCTTTGATAAAACAAAATGAAATAAATTGGATGTATTGTACTAAATGAAAATGACGTATACAGAAATACTTGTGAATAGGATTTGAAATGATATATTAGTGTAGGTTTGAATGGGCAACGTTGAGAAAGTTGAAAAAGGAATACCAAAAGAAAAGAATTTGATAAGTTCACCAAAAATTCTACCCCGTTGTCAGTTTCCTGTGCCAAGTTTCTATGTCTCAAGAAAAGGTTGAATGGATAAGACAAAGCTTATCCCCCCAAACCATGATCACAACCAACCAACCACCACCACCACCACTACCATCATAATCTTTCCTCATGGCATAGATCATATCTTTCTTTTCTTTCTCCCCCATTCAATGAGAAACTCCCTGAATTTCTTGACAAACGTTAAAGAGAATAAAAAGAAATGTCTATGTGGGAGTGTCAAAATGAAAATACGATTAAAATAAAATGACGTTGAGATGTTCATTCTTCGTTTAAAATGAGAAATGATTTTAAATTATAAATTCATGAGTTTATTCATATTACACGAACGATTTATTTATATACACACATATACATAAACACAATGAATATCTCATTACGTGTTTTGTGATTTTATTGTATAATCCTTGCATTTAAGAACGTGTCGGTGTTAGAATTCACAGGATTGCTAAATCTGTTGAATAAATACCTACATTTCTTCTTCTTCTTCTTCTTCTATTTCTTCTCTGTTTACTTTACGATTTGTAATAATAAAGGGTGTTTTACGTGTGAAATTTTAGAGTATCTATTTAATTCATAATAATTCTAGATTATATATGATGAGTAAACAGTAATAATAGGCTCAATAATTATTTGTCTTTGTATAAATGTGTTATAAAATATAATAAATTATTTGAGGATAAATTTAAAAAAAAAAAAAAAAAAGAATTTCACATTACAATAAAATATTATCAATAAATTTGTTCACTCGATAATACAGCAGTACTTGATAAAGGATAATAATTTTGATCCCAGTTTATTTCAATGGGAGTAAGTTTTTCAGTATATATCCGTAATGCCGTATCCTGTCAGAGGCAGCTTTTCCCAACCACCATTATGGTTTATAGCGTTTCCTACTACTATCTTCGGGTACTCCTCGCAAGAAGGATTCCAACTGGTGTCCCTCCGTTGGAGCATAATGCGCCCATTATCTCCACTCCTTTCACCTATCACCAACGGCGTGTGTATAACACACCAAAGGTATAATGTGTACCGGGTGTCAATGTAATTTCCCGTTTCCTCCTCAAGCGATCTATTTCGCTAAACGTGTGTTGTTGACGTGATCGTAAACTGAGTGTCATCGGATTAAGTTATGGTACGAAGTGAACAACAACAAAAAAAAAAAAGGAAAAATATAGAAAAATGAGAACAAGCCAAGCCAAGCATTGTGAATAYGATACGTTCGTGTAAAGATGAAAAATTGAGGAAGAAGCAAGAAACCATTACCCATAATATCCCATCGCAGGAGGAAGTGATTTTTAAGGAGAAGAGGACCCATCGTTTCACGGCAATTTCGCTTTCTCTTAAGTGTCCTCTTTTCTCTTCTACTACTTCTCTTCCTTGCTATCACGAGTCACGATGAAACGATTATGAAAATCTCGTAGCATTTTACCTTCCTTGGCTGGTACTACGAGGGCTTCTTTTTTTTTTATTTTTTACCCCTTGTTATATATCTACGCACCCTTCTACTTAAATTTCGAACTTTCCCTCTTTTTTTCTTTTTTTTCTTTCTTGCCCCATCATCTGGACGAGATGACCATTTTCTTATTATCCAGCAAAAGTCTTATTGAGATAGGAACGTTTTATTAAGAACGTTTCGGTTATTATATTGAATTATTGAGATCATTTGATTTCATTATTAAAACATTTTAACTTTTGTTTCAGATCCATCAGCTTCCGGGTCATCTTGCGAAGATGAAATCAACGAGGAGCGTTTTATCGGTGCTAGAAAACGTAAGAACAGTTTGTACACATCTAACTCACTTCGTGCTGCTTCAGTAGAAAGCGACAGACCATTATCGACGGATGGTGTTCTCGTTGATTGCGTTGCGTTGGTTCATCTAGCTGATCAATCCTCTACGGACTCTAATCAACCAGCTCGTCATCCATCACCGTATTATTACGGGGATCTTTTCAAAGTACCGGAACAACCAATAAGATCACAACCAAGTAAATATAGAAAGAGTGTGAGTTTAGACGTGCCTGAGGAACGTTCAAGAACACCCGGTATACCGAAGAGAAATTCTCTGGCGGGTGATGGGGGTCCCTATTCTCCTCATCAACAGCAACAGCATCAGCAACAACAGCAGCAGCAGCAGCAACATTATCAGCAACAACAGCAGCAACAGCAACAGGGAGGACAACAAAAGGGACAACAGCAACAACATAATCAACAGCAACAACAACAAAATTATCAGAATCAAGATCTAGTGAGCCCCACATCGGGGAGCGAGCATGCTGTCCCAGATAGAAACAGCGAGCTCCTCTCGTCGTGCATTATTACAGAGTGGGTTCACACACTCATGCCTCCACCTAGGCTGCTGAGCCATGATCTTCCGAGTACCGTTTGTACCTGCGTCGCATCAGCCGAGGAAGAAGAGGATGAGTTAGATCGACGACAGCCGCAAACTACGCGGCAACATCAGCAAACACAACAGCAACAACAACAGCAACAGCAACAACAACAGCAGCAGCAACAACCACTCCTTCATCATCACCATCATCATTACCATCATCATCATCATCATCAAACAGCACCGAGAAAGTTACGAAGAACCAGAAGAATAGATCCACAACCGATTCTCGTGGAGGACGAGGACGACGTGGAGGGGGAGGACGAGGAAGAGGAGGAGGAGGAGGAGGAGGTGGTGGTGGTTGGTTTGGAGGAAGACGAGGAAGAGATGGCGAGACAACGTCATTTATACGAAACCGCTTTCGATTGCAAAGTCAATCGTTCCGACGATGATCTTGACGATCTCGATCGAGTTACCAATCATCCGGTACTGCATTCTCAAGTAAGTCATTCTCGATTTAATTATTTTATATTTGATATTATTTGATATTTATGAATTTGTTCTTTGGTTTTTCTTTTTCTAATAACATAGATAAGAAGCAGTAGCGCGTTAGCTACGAGTCGAACGAGTTCGTCGACGGATACGTCGAAGCAACAACAGCAGCAACAGCAACAGCAGCAATTACAGCAACAGCAGCAGCAACAGCAACAACAACAGCAACAAATTCCTTATGCTGGTCAATCGCATTCAAGCAAAGACCACCGACGCAAAGTCGTACTTCTCCGCCCAAAACCAATTCCGAGCCGTCTTCAACAACAACAGCAGCAGCAGCAACAGCAGCAGCAACAACAGCAACAACAACAACAGCAATCAGACAATATTTCGACTCTGTCCCAGGATATCGAATCCCTCCAGATAAATTCGAGTGATGAAAAAACTGGTTCGCCCAGACTTCCTGCGAGAGGGTATACACCCTCACCGCCATCAACGGCACCCTTACCCGCGAAATTTCATGGTAATCGCGACCACCTATTGCTGAATATACGCAGCGCACCAAATTTGCCATCCCAACCGGATCATCCACGTTTGAAGGATATGAGACTGCCCATTAAATCGACCTTACGTGCCAAGGATTCTCCTCAAAGTAGCGAGGGCAGTATTTTGGAGATCAAGAGCCGACCTAAGAACTTTGTTCAAGAAAACGTCGAGTCATCTCAGGGTCGTCGTTTCGACAAGGACCTCATTCTCGAGTTCAAGAGCAGGCCAAGGGACGAGAGACAACGTCCAAGAAGTTTGATACGCGAGAGTAAACCTATTATGGAGTTCAAGGGTAGGCCTCACGAAGCTGAAAGTGACCTTGCACGTCCAAGAAGAGAGGCGGGTCTTTTGGAATTCAAATTACGTAACAGCAGGCGTAGAGCTGGTTATTCTAGTACAGAAAGTATGGCTACCAGTAGTAGTGGGGGTAGTATGGAATCTTTGAGAAGCAGCACCAGCGAAGGTAATCGATCGACGAGTAGCTCTGAAAGTCGCCATAGTACCAGTCTCAGTTCTCATAGCTCTGACAGTGGTGGTACGAATTGTTATCATCATCATCATCATCAACAACCGTCTTTAACGGGCTTCCTGACACATCATGCCAATAAACTTCACATATTATCGCCAATTTCGGACAAGTCGTCGCAAGAACCGGCCTCGGAAACATCGGACAACAATCGTAACAATAATTCTCAAAAAGCATCCCCCGAGGAAAGCATCACCACGGAAAATAATGTTATGTTGACCAATAATACGAACACTAATACAAATACCAATACGAATGCAGCCAATACAAATACAAATTCCGTCACGTCTCCCATGGACACGTCTTTTAAAAAGAGACGTACACCTCAGAACAAGAATCTCATTAATTTAGCTCTCCAATCGTCGTCTTCCGGAGATGCAGAAATTCAAGGCTCCGATAGTGGTATTTCTATCGAATCTCGGGCCGGTATCAAGTGCAAACCTTTCGCTTTTCACTTGGTAAAACCACAATTGGATAATATCAACATTGTTGATAACGAACCGGAATTGTCAGATTTGCCGTTTGACATGCCGAAACTTCGTAGACGAAGATTACTCATGCAACAGGATGCGACAACTTCCGGTAGCGCGACCAGTGTTGATTTGAGAGATTTGCCATTTGACATGCCAAAACTTAGAAGAAGACTTAGGTGCACTCAAAGCACCGAATCCAGTGCTTCGCAAGCTTCTTCGAGTCTTTCAGTACGCGACGTTGAACCGCCTGGTTTGTTTGGTAAGTCTTATTATCGTTTTTATTATTTATTAGAATAAAAGTAACAAATTAACATTCTCAAATTAATTTTCAAATGAGATGATTAATTATACAGGAAGCCCTTTTGTAAAATAAGTGGCCAAGACTAAGTTTTTATCAGAGATCTTTTTCTTTTTTTGTGTCAACGATTAGCTTAACGTCAAGGGTAAAGCCGCAAGACACTTCTTCGGTACTCTATACTCGTTTCTCGTTAATCAAGTGTCTCACCATTAAAGTGATAAAAACATCGTACTTTTGGGTAGCACGAGGTGAGTTAAGTACTCACCACCACCACCAAGAAGACTCGGAGGGATACTGTAATTTGATGCTGATCGTTATGAACCTTCCAGACAGCGACTAACATCGTTAAGCCTCACTTAGAACCTTCAGTACCTTTAACCGAACGACCAAATATTTAATGTTACCAACACACCATTTGGCTTAGAAAATTTACACAGGGTAAAGACCTTACCTGATATTCTCGCCTTAAGAAATTTTAATTACCGGTTTCGTTGAGAAGGGTAAATGAATAGGGTGAATTTTCTTTCTTTTTTTTTTTATGATTCTTAAAATGAAAACTGAAAAACAAAACAAAAGACAAACTGAAAGAATATTTTCTAATAAAAACAAATGATGGAAAATGAAATCATAGGAAGAAGGACAAGTACATTATGCATGCAGTTTAGTAAGAAGCGTTAGGGGTTTTGCATTAGTCGAACGATTAGGTTTGAACTGTGGTGGTCCAACGTGTGGTGTGAACCCATCCCTTCCACACACACACACACACACACATACATACATACACCTTCCTATCCCCGATTTTACCTCGAGGCTTGGCGTCGCGTCGCCCATCGTCGTCGAATCGAACGAGAGTTTGAACGCCTCTCGTCTACCCTTCCGTACCTACCCCATTCTGTCGTCCACCCTTCACCCCCTTTCTGCCCCCATCAAATTGGGAAAGCTCTAATGCAAGCTCGCGCATACCCATAGACCCCCATAGGCTAAACTGACACGATAAAGAAAGAGATGGAAATAGATGGATAGATAAAAGGGGATGATAAATTCCGCAGTTTCCGATTCTGTGCTATGATCAGTATGATGTTTCACATACGTTACTTGTATATATATATGCATTAGTAATAGTGTTGGTAAGAATCAAATATTATGAAGAAATAAACTAAAGGAAGTGGTTGTAAAAATATTTTTATAGTATTTTCTATAGTATATAGTGTCAATAAAAAAATCCTCAAATACTTCATAAACTTACTTCCGGTTAACGTAAAATCCTTTACTATGTGCAAGCTTGTTGTATTGGTTGTGTAACTTAAATGTTTATGACAATATTAGGGTTGAATATATTATAACTATGAATCATTTTATTGTATTATTAGTTTGCCGATACTATGATTGTTCCTTTCGATAAACGTTTTGCATCCTATTCGTTCATACGTATTTCCCCCCCCCCCTCCTTCGTTTTGTGTTAAATGGATAACAATAATGTGTGTATAACCATTCGTGTGACTCCGATATTGTTGGAAACTTGAAATTCTGTTCGATATCGGCCACCTACGGTCGAGTGAGTTCCGTTTCTACGTTTTTGCTGACTACGAGATAGGTGCAGAAAGATAGAAAGAATAAAAAAAGCGACAGTGTGAGGGTTGAGATGAGATAGAAACGTCGTTTCCCGTTTTTTGTTCGTTGTTACGCAACGATAAATGATAAAACTCTCAGGAATACTTGATAAACACGTACAACACGAACAACTACTACTACTACTACTATTCTGTTATCAAACTGGGTGACAATAACGATCAATATCGAATTACGTTCAGGGTAAATTCATAAGGTTGATATAAACTATACTAAAGTGTAATTTAATATGAATTTTTACTAAAAAAAAACAAAAATATACATTTTTATTCATGTGTTTGATGATTTTATTTTATTGGAAAAAAAAAAAACTGTTGAAAGAAATGATTATATTTACGTTTTAATAATTCGCAGATATATATATAAATAAAATTGCTTAAAAGTCTCGTATATTTGATATCGGATTACTCGAGGGATAAATTGAAAGGGTGGAAATGTAATCTTCTTTTTTATATATATATATATATATATATATAAATATATATATATATATATTCGTTTATACGTTGAAAGCTTCAGAATATATAAATCTTTATTTATATTTATATTTGTAATATTGTACTTTATTATATTGATAAAAGAACAAAAAAGTATAACATAAATCATTGAATGGGGTTAGATATTTTTTTTTGTAAAAATTCTTAACACGTTGCACATTATTTTATATTGGAAGAATATAAAAAAAATTGCTTGGAAATTTGTTCTTTTTTTTTTTTTTTCGTTGAGCTTAAGGAACAGTCAGCTGCGTATAAAATCGAACAACGAAAAGATATATATTTCTTTTAGCCGTCTGATGGATGTTGCACGATTTCGATCCGTAAATTACTTTTTGAAGAGGGCGAAAAAACACGTGGAAATAAAAAAAAAAGTGAAAAGAAACATGAGAAAAAGACGAAATGTTCGTTTTGGCTTTCAACGATGGCTGTTAGCACGTCATCATGTGGAACAGATTTAAGCAAGGAACCCGAATATTTGATGTTACTTCGGTGTTTTTTTGTTTATCAATTTCTTATCCAACGTTTACAGAAAATGTTAGAAAATTGGGTATGAAGGAAATTTTATAGATGGTTTAATCAAATTTTTGTTATTTATAGTTTGTAATATTAATTGGAATAATTAATAGTAATTTTTGTTTATTGGAATGTTGCAATATTTTCTAATTTTATGAATAAATGTTTATGAAATATAAAATAATATTTATACATTAAATTAAATTATATTATATAAAAAATATAAATTTGAGATGTTATATATATATTTTATTATTTATTTTATATTTATTATATATATTATATAATATATTACATTTATTAATATATTATATATTATATTATTTATTTTATATTTTTTATTAAATATTTAATATATAATATATTATACACATAGCAATAAGTGTGGTAACTTCCTTTAAAAAGGTAAACTAAAACCATTTTTGATATATGCAAATTTGATTATGAAAATATGACTTATGCAAATTTATTTCAAATAAAAAGTATTTCATATCTTTCCTATCTTTCGTATCTTTCGTATCTTTCGTGATTTTTATAAATAAAAAATATTTATCCCAAACTAGTTATCATAGTTTCAAACTAAAAGAAATGCATTTAAATGTCAACACGTGACAAAATGCATTATATATTATTATTTTATTCTTGTATCTTGTTGAAAAACAAAAATTAATTTAATTTTTTTTATCTTAATAGTCGATAAATGTCGCCAATTATTATTCGATCCATTTCTGTTTTTTTGTTGTGTATTTGCTAAAAAAAAAACTCGAAGGTGGTAACTTTCCGATTGAGAAGATTGATCGATCGGTTGATTCGTTTCTTGCGTTAACCTCACGTTCGTTGTTGTCTCCAACATTGTTAAGGGTAAAACTGCTTTATTAGTTTGCCAATGGTGAGGGGAGGATTGGGAGAAGGGGAAGGTGGAAGGAAGGGATCGTCGATCATCGTAATCCCATTTTGACCGATCTAAAGATTTAGACACGATGACGGAGCACCTTGATAGAGAACCGATTTGTTCCTCACTTTTTGTTTCTCTTTCCATTCGATAAACTTTCGCTTACTCATCGCAAGAATTTTTTTTGGTTTTTTTTTTTTTTACGAGAAACAGGTAAAAAATAGAATTGATTGGAGGATTAAAAAACGTTCACCATCGTTCGTAAATTTTTTTTAAATTTCTTATTAATTTCTAATCGTTTTACTATTTGATTTGATTAGTATTTCAATAACTGTTCAGTTTGTGTTCATATAATTTTATTAACATTAAATTTATTTATAAAATATTATTTTCAATAATTTAATAAATAATATTTATTTAATTTAATAATATTATTTATTAAATTAAATTTACTAATTTCTAATAATCGTTGTATTATTTAATTTAATTAATATTTCAATACCTGTTCAGTTTATGTGTTCATTATTTTATTAAAATTAAATTTATTTATAAAATATTATTTTTATTAATTTAATAAATAATATTTATTTAATTTAATAATATTATTTTTTAATTTCGAGATTACCTAATAGAATATAAAAATCAATGTATATATAATTTAATAAAACAAACATTGTTTTTATATTAAAATTGAAAACACTTCAATCAATTCACCTGCACGAATAAAATTCAAAAAAAAATAAAAAAAAAATAATTATTTATCAATAGAATTCAATTAACATTGTTTAATTAACACTAAGTATTAGTGTATACGAGAATACACGTATGAATAAAATATAAAAATAGAATCTTTAAAAAAGATGTGTTAAAATAGATGAACAGATGGTTGGGTGGTGGTTGTTGCTGTGGTCCAGCTAAACCAGAATCACCATTTTTCTCTCTCTCTCTCTCTCTTTCTTACCTTCTTTTTCCTTCCTTCCTTCCTTTTTTTCTCCTTTCCCTTTTCCCTTTCCCTTTCCTTTCTCTTCTTCTCCTTTTTATATTTTCAACTATGCTCTGTGACGGACGACTAGCCCGGAAGGAGGTCGGTTCTTGCATTGTGCTTTCAGACAAAAGCACCCAGCTTGCTTGCTTGCACGTCTACAATACGATAGATGAGAGAGAGAGAGAGAGAGAGAGAGAGAGAGAGAGAGAGAGAGAGNTACAATACGATAGATGAGAGAGAGAGAGAGAGAGAGAGAGAGAGAGAGAGAGAGAGAGAGGAATAGTGAAAAATAGAAAAAAAAGATAGAAATAGAAGCTGAGCTTAAAGCTTTCACCACACCGTGTACCTTTCCTATCTTTTCTACACATTTATATCTACGTAAACGTATTGTTAAACATATTTGTGTTTGTGTATGTGTATGTGTATGTATTTGAGATAGAATATG